CGAAATAGTAGTTTTCCTACGAGTTTGAAAAGTCTCTGTTTGCGAACCGAGACGTTTGCGGCCTGAGCCGAAGGCGAGGGACGTAACGAGGTTCGTAAAGGAGACTTTTCGAACGAGTTCCGAAAAACTGCTTTTTCGCCCGAGGAAGTACCAGCCTCCCAAAACCACCCGAGGGCGGAAAAATATTTTACATACTTACAAAATATATATGCATAGCTGTCATTTACCATTTTATTTGAATAATTTTGCCATAATGAAGATAACAATGAATACATAATATTTTCGTGCCAACAGTGGGATAAGCCCTCAGCCAACGGACGACGGTTCTGGTCAATAAATATTTGGAACCACAACGACGAGCAAGTCATGAAACCGAGGCGACTCTGTCACATTTGCGGCTACCTCGTCACACGTTTGAGCACCCACATCCTCACTCACACGAACAAGCGCCCTCATCGTTGTCCAAAATGCCAAGCGAGTTTCACCGCCCCCTGTCATCTAAAAACGCACATGATCCATCACACGGGCGAGCGACCCCATCGGTGCTTCATATGCCAGCGAGACTTTGCCCAAAAAGGCTCCCTCACGATCCACATGCGCAGCCACACGGGCGAGAAGACCCACCGTTGCTCGTTCTGCGGGAAGCGCTTCAGCCGATTGGACGTGCTCGCGACCCACGTGCGCACCCACACGGGCGAGCGGCCCTACCGGTGTTCCCAGTGCCCAAAAGCCTTTAGCGACCCCAGCAATTTTTCAAAACACGTGCAGACCCACTCGGGCAAGCGACCGTCCCACAATTGCTCCCTGTGCCACCGAGCCTTCGTCCAAAAGGAGACCCTGGAGGCCCACGTGCTCACGCACGCCCGTGAAATCGTTCACAGGTGCGTGCTGTGTCAAAAAAAATTCACTCGAGCCTACGTCCTCAAGATGCACATGCGCACCCACACCGGGGAAAAGCCGTACAAGTGCACCGTTTGCCCGCAAGCCTTCAGCCAAAAGGGCTCCCTCACGGTCCACATGCGGGCCCACACGGGTACGGTTCACGTGTCGTGTAGCGTGTGCCAGCGAGACTTCACCGATTCGAGCGGCTTTTCCAAGCACATGCGCTCCCACGCGGGCATGCTCCCCTACTCCTGTCCCTTGTGCTCGAGGGCTTTTCTCGACTCCAGCAATCTTACGAAGCACATGAAAACTCACTAGGGAACGGGGAAGCCGTTTGGCGCGACGAGCGCGAAGATAACAGTATTTTTGGGTGTTGGAATCTATGTTCCACGTAAGGTTATGGTGTTTTTTATGTAGAGCCTTTTCTTCAAACTTGTATATTTAACTCAATAAAATATAATGCAAAAAGCCTCATTAATTTTCTACCAGATTTTTTTTCCCAGGTTTTTTTTTTAAGAGACAAGCACGGTTTATTTAAAAACTCGTCCGACGAACAATTCCATTGGATTTTAATATTATTTTTTAGTTGTTATTATTTGCATTATTTCCAGTATTTTAATATTAACTGTTGTTAAAATGGTTCTTTTCTTTCATTTTTCAATCATTTAAAGATTCAGAGATCGACTGGGCGTACAATGAGAGTTACAATGAGTGTATTTTTTCTGTCATGTAATAATTTTACCTATCCTATTTTATTTAAAAAAAATTAAATATCGTATGTCCTTCTTTAGTTTTAATATACCTGCCACTTCAAACTGTACAAGTTTAAATTATTTTTACTTTTCCCAAAATATTTGTTACAATTTGTTTTTATAAAAAAACAGGAAGATTTGTACAATTGAAAAACATGCTTTTAAACATTTTCTATAAAAGTAATACGGATTTTACAATCAGTATTTTAAATATACAAAAATTACTGAGTTACCATGAATCATTAATGATAATTAAATGAAGTACAAAAAAAATGACAAACAGTTAGTAGATTACTGCACTCAAAATAAATTATTTTACAACTCTAAGGAAACAAAATTAAGAAATAGTGCAGCCATCATTTGCATTTGCAACAGATACATGTATATTTGTGTTGATCCTTAAAAGAGTATAGAGTAGAAATCTTTCAAAAACTTAGTAGCTGCTAGCTCCCTTTAACCGTAATCCGGTAGCTCTTGAGAGCCTGTGGAGCAGCATATCCCATGAGCTGCAGCCGAGAGAGAAAGAACCAACAACTTTATGGTAGCCGAACGAGAAGCAAAAGAATTTGAAAAACTCCCCTGCGTGCACGTCTGCAGACGTGAAGTCGGGGAAAGAGTCAATGCCAATGGAGCTAAGCCTCTTTGCTGTCTCCGAGAAAATTCTGATTTCCCGCCGTTTCTTTGGATCTTTTCGTTCTAGAACGGGCTGGTGAAAAGGCCGAGACTGCCGACGCACAATGTATTGGCAGAGTGGATGCCGGGACCTTCGCAAGTGCGCACGCAAAAACGTGTCTCTGCCCAAACTCGTCTCTCGTATTTTATACACGGGCTAAATAACAACAAGTTTTAGGAGTTAAAACCAGAGATCAGCCGGTGCTGCATAACAGTACGTATGCATTTTTTCTTAAATATTTAAATAATATCCATTACTTTCTCACAGAACGTTATTTTGGCTGTAAGAAACGTATTGAAAACATTGATAGAGGTCGAGAGGGGTACAATGCGAATATTATGAAATTCTCTTATGATGTACAATTGTAGGCTCTTTTGTTGACATGTTACGTCGCTATATGAATAATCAATCACAAAATCAAACTAAAGTCAAGCAGGACGCAATTGATCAGTATTCTATTTTTAATATTTTTAACACTGTGCCTTTTTAATACATAACAGAAAATCACATGCACAATAATTGAATGAAATATTATATACATTTCCTGGTGTTGATTTTACTTTGAGTCTTCCGTTTAATTTAGCATTATAGCCATTGTCCACAATAATATGAACATAGAGACAAAACTCTATGACATTTTACAAAAATGATTATTTATCAGTTTGTACTCGGACAAAAAAAAATGAAGTTATTTTTTAACTGAGTACCATTATTATTTATTAAACAACAGATTTAATGAATAAAATTACTTAATTATGTATAAGAAGCTCACTTTTAGAAAATATCTCTACAATACCTTTCTTTCAGTTGATAACCCAGAAGACATTTCATTAGTTACTTAATTATTTATGTAAAATAAATTGCAGATGCATACTTTTAAAATTGTAATTGCTGAATATAACCTGTTATTGTAATTATTACTTTGAAATTATTTCGTTGGTTTATTGATCGTTTTACTATAATCCGTAAAATACATTAATTTATACGCTTATGCATAATTCCGGCGATGACTGAATGTTGGTAGCGTTTATAATTAAAATAAGATGTGTTAAAATATTAAATAATAATCTGTGTCACTGTTTAGTAATGAATTATTGTACATAAATATTTGAGGCATCATTACTTTTGTAATTAAATTACAGAATGTTGTTTATTTTTGTTTATTATAATACATAAATTTTGTTTCAATTTTATCAAGACTTCATCATTAACTTATTAATGAGTATTCTATAAATGTGTACACTTTATGTACTGATTATTTAACCAAAATTATAACCATTAATGTTAAAAATAATGATTACGGTGCTGAAATCAGTTATGGTTCTAAAAACAATAATTATTAAATTGTATCATTTACATAAAAAAAGGAATCAAATCAAACTATGTTGATAACGATACTCACAACAATAATAATTGAGAAAAAAAAATAATCACAACAATTATAATAATATAACAACAATAATACTGATTTAAAAAAGAAATAAGTTTGCTGAGTTTATAGTACACTAAGAAAAATAATTAATTATACATTTTAAGTTCACTCATTAACTATTATTGAATGAATTTTAGTACATACTAATTATATCATCATTATCATACCATAAATAAGTTATCTACTTGATGTTAAGAATTTAATACTAATGACAATGTATAAACCTTTACGCAATTGATGTATATACTTAGAAAAAATTTAAGTAATACCACAAAGTCTCCAATAAGTAGTTTTTTTTTTTTTTTTTATAAAATACAAAAAAGGTTTTTTGTTAATTCTATAGTTGCTAGTTAGTTTCTATGATAACCATGCAACAATGTTTCTAATCATAAGTATGCTTTGTTTTAAACTTCTGCACTTGTTATAAATGTTATGAGTTTAGTTGCGTATGAACTCTCAGTAGTATTTTATTTTTTATAAAAAATCTTTATTAATGAGTAATTTATGTAACACAAGTAGTCTTTTCTCCGTACAACAAAATTAAAAAAAAAAATTAACACTAATAATAATGGCTCCAACAAAATAATAAGTTATTTACTTTCTTATCAACAATAGGACAAGTGTAACAAGTGGCATTCCTGATGGTCTTCTGATGAGAGTTACTTAACAAAATCTATTACAACAACAATAGCCAGATGGATGATCAGTCACTCTGTCATATCTGCGGAAAACTCGCCGCAAACCTCGTCCTTCACCTTCGTACCCATATCACCGTGCGTCCTCATCACTGTTCGGTATGTGAAAAAGCTTTCAGTCGGACGAGGGACCTACAGAGCCACATGCGGACTCACACGGGCGAGAAGAGTTATCGGTGCACCATGTGCGAAAAAAGTTTTGCCAATTCCAATGATCTCAAAAGGCACGTGAAAACCCACACGGGTGAACGCACCCACTACTGCTACATCTGCGGAAAAAGTTTCATAACCTCGAAAAGCCTTGAAATACACTTGCGCGTCCACACGGGCGAGCGCCCCCACAACTGCTCTGTGTGCCGCAAAGCCTTCAGTGACCCCGGCAATCTATCAAAACACATGCGCACCCACACGGGCAAACGGCCCCACAGCTGTCCCACGTGCTCGAAAACCTTCAGTAGAGCCGATAACCTCAAAATGCACGTGCGCACCCACACAGGCGAGCGTCCATACAGCTGCTCCACTTGTGGACGGGCCTTTGCCCAAAGAGGCTCTTTGACGGTCCACGTGCGCACCCACATGGGCGAAAAGGCGCACCACTGCTCGGTATGCCGGAAAGGCTTCAGCCGGGCTGACGTTCTCACGATACACATGCGCACTCACACCGGCGAAAGACCCTACAAGTGCACCGCTTGCCCGCAAGCCTTCAGCCGAGCCTACAATCTCAAGGCACACGAGCGAAGCCACACGGGCGAGCGTCCTCACCGGTGTTTGACGTGCCAAAAATGCTTCGCCCGATCGAGTGACCTTTTGAAGCACACGCGCACTCACACGGGCGAAAAGCCTTACCAGTGCTCCTTCTGCTTGCACTCTTTTATCCAAAAGGTCCATCTCAGGAGTCACATGCAGATCCACATGGCGAAGAAAATAATATCTTGATGCTACGTATTTTTTTTTGGATATTATCAACAGCTTTGGTAAAGATAACTGTGGATTGAGTTGACAATTAATACGGCAGAATTAATTTGTATTCGTTGTACGCTTCTGAACCTTCAAAGATGGAGGGTCTTATTTTAGATTGTACATCAAGCCAAATAAACAGTATTTAATTATTAAACGAAAACTTGTTTTCAATTGAAATAACCATGGATTTATTTGTTACGTAAAAATGTTTACAAAAAATGTTATAAAAATGCACTCAAAACAGCTTTTGTAATCGTACATTAAATTTTTTTATGATTATTATTTAACATACCATGTCTTACATTAGATTTCATGAAGTTAAATATCACACTGTCCATATGACATTTCATAACATCTTACATTAAATTCAATACAAATTCAATTAAACTCGCGAAAAACCGAACAAATTGTTTATGTAGAATTTATTCTTAAAAAATATTTAATATTTATTTTATTTACCGTGGCAATTCAACTGGAGACAAGTTTCATAACTTGAACTTTAAATCGTTTCGGTGCTAGTGTAATAAACTTATAATACTCCCCTCATACACTTTTTTTTGTAACATGGTAACGAAAGGAGTCCTATCTATAAATACTGGATTTTATTTTTGTTAATGGCATTAATTTTAATGTACTAGATATTAAATACCTGAATAACTTTTCTTAATGACTAATGCATTAAATCTCATGTATATGTATTTATTATTTAATAATCTAAGTTTATTTAGGTGCATAGTGGTGTTGGCATAGACGATTAAATAGACGGAAATACTGTAATTTATTCTCAATAATTTTTATCAAGTACTTATATTCACAATATTATTTAAAATATTACAACGGACTTCATGAATAAACATTGTTATAACTAATATGAGTATATTTAATATACTAACTCTTTTAATAAACTTGTGTAATATTATAATAGACATTTAATAATCAGAGATAAGTTACAATCGAAAGAACTATTTAGTTAAAAAATTGTACCAAAGACTGAGATTCAACCTCGATCCCTCTGCATAGAGGGTCATTACCATAACCAGTGAGCTATCGAATATCATATTGGTTAATAATTAAGAATTTGTGCTTCCCTATACGCAAGTTTACGTTAAATTATACTAAAAGTTGCAAGACATTTTGACTTTAGAGTGGATTTTTATAAAGTGAAAAAATTTAAATAATATTCAAATGACATGTTTGCCATGTGTAGAAACAATTTTATTATTTATGCACACAATGTTTAATGTGATTAGTATTTCCAGAGTTTTTACATTCAATGTATTTTAATGTCATTAAGCGGTATGCTATTTTAGTCAATGCACGTATGAAATACGTATTTCGTGGTTTACTTTTTTTTTTTTTTTTCTATTTAAGATTTTTACCTATCCTCGATTTATTAAATTAGATGCAGAACATTATATCACATGTTCTTCACCATTGCTGCCATTTTCAAATTCGGATAAAGTGGTTAACTTAATTTTAGGCTGACAGTAAAATCCTTTATCCCGATGTCTATAACATCAAGGAAAGTGTGGAGAAATAGGTGATACATCATCTCGAGGTGGCCGCCATTTTATATTTTTTTGTCACTTAGCTCTAATACTTGTGTACAAGGGATGGTAAAACTAATCCGTCAGGACCAAAAGTGCGTGGAGTATCCGAATTAAATATTGGGAATGGGTTGAAAAATCTTTTTGTCGTTTCTAAACGTATTTTGCCTTTTAGAGCATGAAACTGGTATTATAAAGACAATTACATGTAACTGGAAAAGTATACTGATTTTTGACCCTGAAAATTTTTATTTAACATTTCGTCCTGAAATAATCGTGTAAAAAATTATAAGCCACTGTCAAACGACGGTTTTTCGTCATTTTAAAATTATTTTTGTCCTCAATAGTGTAAAAACAATGATGTAAAAGAAACATTCAACCAAAAAAATAAGTTATTGCTTTCTTGTTTTGTATCATGAAACATCTTGCACACAAAAAGTTGTACTTTTATTGTGTAGTATGGAAGGATGTAGAGTCCTTCGTAACGACACTTCAGTGTGAAAGATTAATTTTTTTTTTTTTTGACTTGCCACTTTTTCTTGTCATTTCATCAATTGAAAGATTAATTTTTTTTTTTTTTCTTAAGTCTCAAATTAAGACAATTAATAACAACCATAAATTAACAGCAAAAGCTATTCTTAGTTCAATATTACAGTCAATGTTTGAGCAGAAGTTCATGGATTGTAAACTCTTTTTGTGACTAAATAATAACTATCTTACAAAGTTATTGACATAAAGATTAAAAATTCTAATTATTTTTGATAAAACAAAGCGTCAGCTGTCTTCAAATGTCGAATTGAAATTCCAAAATTAATTACATCATTTAGTTGTCAATGAATAAATTTTTTTTTTACATAAAAACACTGACAATGAGTCGATTACAATTTTTCAATTACAAAAATAAGCTTTTTTTATCTTCCGTAATTTGTATTGAACTATTAAAAAATTTTTGACCAAAAAATAACAAAAAGCTGCTTCTAAAAATCCAAAAATAATGAACGTGGACTCATAAAATACGTTTACAACATGTTTTTATGAATATTATATTTTTAACCAATACAAAAATATCTTTACAAGGAAGCAAAAAACCAGAAGANCCCCCCCCCCGAGTGCAATATATAAGCTAAACGTGGACTACGATATTGTATTCCGTCAAGCGCGAGCGTTGACAAGCCAGACAACGAGAAGATTGAGCGAATCTCGTCTTTTCGGGCGCTCAACATATATTGTGCCCTGTGTATCCTCCAGTGCGGACAAGATGAAAGAAGAGACGCTATACACCCGATTACAGTTTCCGCATCCGATAAGGTATACGTGTCCGTGTTTTTATTGCATGCACATTGGTCCCACTGCAACTGTTGGAAGTTGCCTCATTGCGATTGGCTTTTCTGTTTTTTTTTGTTTTTTTTTGTTTTTTTTTTTCAACGGATTACGAAAATTCTTTTTCATTTGTGTAAATTCTTGTGTTTGGTGAGTTTTATTGTTGGTTTTTCATCTATGATTTACGTGGTAAAAATCTACAACTGATATCGACTCACTTCAGCAAAACTATGCTTTGTACAAGCGACTCATCCTACTTGAGTGATGTTTACGAATGATGCAAACGTAAAAACCAACAGTTCTAACGTTTTCCACTTGGTTGGCAGAACCATCACGCAATGTCAAGTTTGGAATTCAATGCCGCTGTTTACAAAATAAAATAACATTATTTTCCAGGTATACCTACGTTTGTTCACCTCGTCTATTTTCAAAGGGAGGTGAGCTCTACATTGTACGTTTCGAGTGATGAAGCTTGAAAATAATATTCTTTTGAATCGCGGAGTTGTCACATTACGTGATGAGTCAGGGTCGCTCTGTTGCATGCGGAGGTTGTGCATTGTGTTGGCTGAGATTAAATGATGACAATCGCTTAGTACGCCGGAAGGATGTTTATTATTTTACTTAGTCAGTATCCTTAAATATACAATGTGTGATTTAAAAATCAGAGTAATATTTTTTTCTGTTTTTACTTTTACCGTTCAATTGATGGAGTATGAATCATAGTATACGAGCATAAAAACTCCCTGCCACGAAAATGACAGTAGTAAAATTATTTTAGTCGATACAATAATGTCGTACTGTTCTGAGAAATACACACGTAGGAATTGTAGGATAATGAGTTGAAAATATTAAATTTTTTCAATCCAAACTTCTTAACTAACTCCAAAATTTTGGATACTCTACCGAAATTGAAAAGTATTTTTCGAAACAGCTGAGGATATCTTATCAGCTATACCACTTTCACAAGAAACACATAGTCCAACAATTTTCCACTCAATCAATAGACAAGTATTTATAACACTTTGTCCAAATCATTCCTTCTTCGAGATAGTGACTTAAAAAGACACAACGCTGGGGGAAAAAGTAATTTCTGCACTTCTTGCTTTTCTCTTCTAATTAAAAAAAAAAAAAAAAATAACAGACATTCATCATTAGGTATTCACGAGGAATATGACATTCAGTGTAATTAGTAAAACTGTTATGATCTCTAGACTAAAAATGGTATTGTCTCTCATCTTCTGTTATGATAAACGATAAAACTTTCGATCGATCATACTCAACATTTTCGATTCACGGAAACCATATGTATGATCTTTTTAAAATTGCAAATCTTCGGTTTGTATTTGTGTACCCAAATGGCATATGTTAATACGGGTAATGGAGAGGACACTTAAAGTCCAACAATTGTATCCCACTCGAACCCTCACCATAACCCAGTCATTGTTCCCCTCCAAATCCTCCCAAGACAAGGACAACTACTATTTTTTTTTTTTTTTTTTTTTTTAGTACCAAGACAACACCTTCAAATTGCCACGTCCAAATCAAAATGCACTCGCAAAGCCACTGCAACTTCCTTGGACTGCATTTGAGAAGTAAGGTATTTCCACAACACTTGACCCCGCGTGTGCCCACCTCCAGCGTACACAAATTTTCCCCCAAACCCCAAGAAATGGAGAACCCCACGGGTAATTACAAGGGAAGCTAACTCTCTTTTTCTGTCCTTACCGAGGAACAGGCGCAAGTATACCTGTACAACACACGAGGAAGGAAGGCGAGCCCTCGGCAAAGGAAGAAACGCGAAGGAAGCGAAGGAGAAAAACGAGCGACCACCACGGGCGCGCTGCACCGTGCCGGAGAGCTTATTCTCCCTTCCCTCTCTCTCTCTCTCTCTCTCTCTCTCTTAAGGATCCTGCAGCGTTGCAGTATATATACAGAAAGAGAGACTATGGGCACCCATACAGATACACCGAGAAAGGAGCAGGAGGATAAGAAGGAGAGTAGGGGGGGGGTGGGTTGAAAATCTAGCCGTAACGCAGCGGTGGTGCATCGGAGTGGTGCAGCAGGGGATGCACGGCGGAGAGAGCCCCGAAGGTGGGGGAATACGCGGCTATATAACGAAGGTCCTGGGCGGCGAAGGGCCACAGTTGGCCCTAATACCTCACCGAGGGCCGTGCCACGCCGTTCCTTCCCCCTCGTTTGTTCTCCTCGGTCTTCTTGTTATACTATTCAGCTTCTTCTACTCCTTCCTCCCATTCGCGTATGTATATATATATACATTATTCAGTGGTGGTAGTGGTTCTCGTGGTGGTAATGGAAAAGGTGATGCTGTAGGATCCGAGGATATACATATATATAAGAAGAGAACCGTTCTTCCCGTCTCTCGCATCAGCTATACTTCTATGTACGGGGAGCATCAGCGGTCGTAGTTGTCGTGGAGGCACAACCATCACTGCAGGATCGTGTGTGCGCGAGTGCGCGAGAGAGGAGTGCCCCGAATCTCCCGCGCTTGCTCAGCTACTCTACTCTCTCCCCCCGCCCCTTCCATCCCGCTCTCCCGGCATCATCGACTCGGTCGTCACCATCCGTTTTGGTACACTACTGCGCCAGGACCACGCACATCGGACCTTCAGTTGTGCGCCCGACGTCCTACCGAGAGGGTCACGGATTGTGAACGTACATTTTTTTTTTTTTTCGGGCTCGTTTCGATGTATCAGTGAAGATCCTCGTTGATCCTTGTCATTGAGGAGTTGACCGAGGTGCCAGTGGTAGTACAGAAGTGCAGGAGGACCAGAGTGCATTTGAGAGCAGGAAAATAAAAAAAGAAGAAGAAAAGTACGGCAAAAAAAAAAGTAATAATAATAGAAGGAAAACGAAGAATAGGTCGATCGCGGTGTAGTGGAAGGAAGGAAGGAAAAAATGGGGAAAAGGATGCCGAGGCTAGCAGGACTATTGGTGGTTTTATCGGCGGTGGCCGTAAGTACGGTCGCGAGTTTCGACCTTGGGCCGATCTTGAGGCTCGGCCAGTGCAGATCCCAGTGCCTCAAGTCGCACAGCCTCGATGGCTATTGCGAGTGGTGGAGGCGCGGAGAGACCGGCTGCAATGAAGTGAGTATTATATACATACATATACGTGTATAAACCTTCTCTGCTTCTTCTTTATCTCCTTTTTGTCTATCTTTTGCCCCCCCCCCTTCTCGTACCTTTAATGCATACCCGCGTAGAGCTGCATTACTGCACACATGCACGTACATTATACGAGCGAAGAAGAAGAGCCGGGTGGTGGTGGTGCCGCGGAATATCGTGTATTATTGATTGTTGGCCTTTTTTGCGCCCCCCCCCCCTCCACTCTCTACTCGAGTCTTGCCCTTTTTTGTACGGACGTGATGCTCGTGTACTTGCGGATATATATATATACGTTCGAGCGCTCGGCTGCGCTTCAAGGATCCCCCTGTGCGCGCCACTTTGTTCGCGAGATCGGTAAGTAGTTTTCGATTTCTTTCGCGTCGTTGGTAGAATTTTTTTTTCCTTCGACTCGGGAAAACTTGTTTTGGTTGCGTCGCTGGAGGATTGTTTTTCATTGAAGCTTTTGGGCTGTAGTAAAGTCGAATTAGACGCAATTAGAGCTACGTCGTTTTGCGAGTGAGCGAGCAATTTACATTCGTAATTAGTTTTTTCTTTTTTTTTTTTTTTCTTCACGATTGATCGTATATCTAAGTGAGGGACTTGAAAGTATCGATACAAAGTCAGAAGAAACCTTATCGAGATATTTACTGAAAATTCATCAATCTGAGTCTTGAATGACTTTGAATCTTTTATTAGACTTTCAAATCAAAGTCTTTTGTACACATTTTTGAGACTTAAAGACTCTACGTGACTTCAAATGGTTTCAGAATCTGATAGAAGCTTTTGCAACCTTTGAAAGATATTGGACGACTTTGGAGCCATCAATAGTCTTAACTTAACTTAACAAAATTTTAGAGGCTTTCAAAAGTCTTCGTATCATTTTTAAACGGCTAAAGTATTTTCAGGACTTCAGTAGTCTTTGAAGGCTTTAAAGTCATTGAAAGATCCAAATGACTTTGAAATCTTATAGAGACTAAAGACCATACCTATGTGTGTTTGAATAAATTTAAAATCTTTTTTTAAGGCTCTTTTAGTGTCTGAGAGTCTTTGAGATACTTCGAAGTCATCATAAATCTTAGATAGCTTTAAAATCTATCAGAGACTTCCAAAGACTCTTAAAGACTTCATGTGACTTCAAATGGCTTGAAAGTCTTTTCGAAACTTTTAAAGTATTTTTTTCAATGATTCGGAGCCTGCGCTCTGGTACTTTAAGATAAGCAACGTTAAGTTAGACGGTACCATCACCACAGCAATATTGATAAAAGAGTAGTAATCGCCGCATCAAAGCACGTGACTGAATTACCATCTCGGATCCATCGAAGCACGACAGCGCAAGATAACGATTTTATATAGCCAATTGCCCCCAATTTGCCCGATTCAGCCTCACGCAGCTTTCCAAATTTCACCCGACACTGCACGCTTTACTCTGCACGTTTAAACGATTCTTAAAACATCACATTTTTAATTACAAGTTTACGAGGACGAAAACTGGAGAGGGAGAGAATAAAAACTTTATCGTCGTCCCAGGGGCCGTAAATTTAAACACAAAATTTTCGCCAGTCAAGCCACGCGGCGCGCATGTGCGTACTTTCAAATTAAAATTAACACTACAAATCACGGGCACTCGCGCCACGGTATAAACCATAAATCCAACACCGGAGCTCGGAAAGGCGGGAGGGAATCACACAATATACACTCGAGATTCGAGAAGGAAAAAGAGATAACGCCCCCTCCCCCTTTCAATTAATATTTATAACACTCATGAAAAACGATGCGCCCGATTTTTGCTTGTTGCATTATGCATCGAGTCTTCGTTTGGAGTGTTTGAAAAGTTTCTTTTTTTTCCCCTCTCTCATTCTCGCATTTGAATTTCGGACGCGCCTAATTAGAACAAACAATAAAACCAGGGCCCCGAGGCAGACCGCCAATTTCGCATTACCCGTCGTAGAAAATGACCCCCAATCAAGTCTAGTTTCCTTAAAAAAAAAAAAAAAAAAGAAAGAAAAAAAAATCGAGGGGAAAAAAATAATAATAATACGAGGGTATATAATAACCGGCCGAGAAAGGGTCCAGGCCGGCTATTAAGTCCCGACTAATCGCACCCTTCGACCGCAGGACGATAATAAGAAGAGGACCAGCCGCCCGTTATCTCCCGAGAGAGCAATAACTGGGCGAGCGCGTCGATTACGGGCGAAGAAAAAAAAACGAATTAGGATTTTCTGCGAAAGCAACGAAAATACGGTCGACAAACGCCTTACGGACTCTGGGTCGCTTTTTCGGTGAAAGAGGGCCCTTATGGCGCTTCGAAAAGAGATTTATAGTGCAAAAGGAAGCTCCCCCTCATGATTATCTCTTGGACTTCCGATTCGGGCTGAGACAAGCGCGGATTGCGACTAGAGATCCTGCCTTGAAACAATGTGATTGTAAAGCCCTAACTATATATTGTAATGATCACTACGTCAGTGCGCTTCTTTAAAACGGTACGGATTGGCCATTAGAAATTTTTACTGCGTCAAGCTGGTGCCTTCGAGACAAAACCATGAGAAAATTGATTTCCAATAGACATGAAGATAATTGTGATATTAGTAATACAATAGAAAGAAGAGCTGATGTTGCGCAAAGCGTCCCGGAAAGCAAAAGTTGAGAGCAATATGCTGCCGTGGGTTTGGTCACGTAAGAGCAACAATAGTTTGACGGGAACTACTGCTCTTTCGTATTTTTAGGCAAAGTTCTTTTTGTTTTACCCGAAAGAGCGTCTCTCGCTCGCGACGACCTTACAATAACAATGAACGTCTCGGTCGAGTGTCCGTACTTTTTTTTTTTGTCTCCCGCACCTCGTCTCGCTTCGTTACATCAAAGGCATATGAACGAACGCGATAACGTTTTTACGAGATTTATGGTGTTTACATGCGCCCGCGTTGTTTCACTGTGTAGGGCTCGGAAAATTTGGCGTAGGTACAACACGGACCACCATAAATAACCATCCCGCTCCTATTTTCAAACCCCGTGCAACACCAAGTCGTCACGGGCGCACTCCCGAGTCAAGCGTATATATATACCTACATCGACTTCGCGTCCTCGAAGAACTTTCCATTCTCCGGGGAGGGAGCGAACGAAGAAAAAAAAACCAAAAAGAGAATCAGAGCCAAGGTGGGTATCGGGAGAAGAAGGAAATTACCGAACGAGAGCTCCGCGGCCATTAATCACTCTCCGTGCGTGGCGCGGCTTGGGTAACAAATCGCTCAATCAACGTCGGCGCGATAGTGTCCGGATAAACGCGCGGGCCCGAGTTCGGCGGGGAAGGTCTCTACGAGTGCGCGGGCGAGGACAGGCTCGAGCGCATATATGCATCAGTTGTTGTTCTCGGGGATGATCGGTATTGCCAAAATTGACGGGGCTGTGGTTTCTTCTCTTCGTAAAAGAGAGAGAGAGAGAGTTTGGTGCTCGTGACGTAACATGAGGATGGGAAGGGGCGAGATGAACATTGTCCGGAGTAAATTGGCCTCGCTCCGGACGATGATGATGATGTAGATCTTACGCGCGTTGCTTCAAGTCTGGCTTCTGAAAGTGTAATTTCGTCCGATCGTTCGGGAGAGGTCGATTGAATCATCGCGTTGTCTGTTGTGCCCATGATGTTTCGGATAGCACGATTGGTTTCGGTAAATTGATAATTGCTTTCTCGACATTGGGAAGCTTTTGAACAACAGATGCATATTTTTTTACTCCCTCCATCAAATCAAAGTGTAAAAATAGTCAAGTTCCAACACACCTTACGTACATTTTTATGGATGTGCCATTTGTGGCCATTTTCCCCTCAAAACTCACCAGCGATGCTCGACATCACAACCTTCCCAGCCAACATTTGCGTTATTCGTTGGCTTTTGTTGTTACGTGATATCGGGTCGATAAATATCGTTTGAAGGTTAATAGGTACCATCTAAAAAATCACGAAACATATCATCCATTTTATCGAGTTACGCGATGAATGACATAATCTGTAGTAAAACAGCTCAAAGGGAAATCGATTGTTCCCTCGTTGGACGAGATTTTCAAAACGAAGGCCCCCATCCCAAAAAAATCACACCCTCACTCGGTGTGTCTCGTACAAACCCTTTTCCCACTCCACCGACAAAAAATTGTTCATCTCGATCCCCGAAAGCTCAAATCCCCGGGTACATTATTAATAATGCACTGTGTCTCTTTTTCTCGGAGCACATGTAACCTCGTCGTTGGCGATAATCTCTCTCTCTCTCGGTCTCTCTGCTGTAGGGCGCGAAAATTGTCAGGGAGAGGGACGCGACGAAAACGAGGCCGATATAAATCTTCCGCTTCCTGCTCTGTCGACGCACGTATATATAACACACCCTCGTGGTTATTACAACAGCAGTGGTGGTAAAAAAACACTCGCATACACACACCCACGCGCTTTTATGTATATACATGTATGTTTTCCCATGTGCGCGATAACCAGTTGGATCACACTCGCAATTACACTCCACGCGCCAGAGCTCAAAGAACCCCAGTGTATAACCCTATGGGTGATACAACGCACTAGCAGGGGAATCCCCCTTTTCTCTCTCTTATCCGCACTGCAGAGGGAAGCTCTCGATAACGGCACTCCTGGGCATATACGTTTGCTTTTTTTCTCCCTCACTTTTTCATATCCATTTTTTTCGTCTCCCTTTCTCTCCGATTGTCATCGTCATCGAGTCAAGTGCACGTGTATGGATGTCAAGAAAAGGGGAAGGGGGATGGAAAAGGTCCCCCACGCCCCCCCCCCTTTTCGATACTCGTTGTCTTTTTCGAAAAGGGTGTCGTTGGGTGTAATTTATTTTTGCCTCGTGAATTTTCATGAGGCCTCCTCGTCTATCGCTCGATGCGACGTGTAATTTATATATACTATATGGCTGAGCACGTGTGCCCATCATATTCACAGTCCCCCTACCCTTCGAAATATCCAGCGATTCCGTACAAAACGGTGC